AAGAGTGGGAGTCCTGTCTTGGGGAGGGCGAGGGAGTTGGGGGTGTCGCTAGGTTGGGTTTCTTTTGGTTTCGTGTTGTTTCGTTTGTTTGGCTGTTGGGTTGAGATGTGGGTGGCTGGTTGGGGGTAGGATACCATGGGTGGGAGATAGGCCCCGCTGGCCTTCACGGTCTGTCATCGCCCCTTTTATATTTACTTTGTATTTGATTGGGGCCCCGGGTTGTGGGGTGCCCGAATCTGTTAACTGTGGTGACGGTTGTGGCTGGCCCTAGGAGTCCCCGGGTTGGCTAATACGGTGCAAGGGGATGGCTGTCATGCCTACCTCGACCTGGCTTTGGGGAAACTGGCTAAGGTTTGGGGATGAGGCTGCTGATGACATCTTGTGTCGGATGGAGCTGACCTGGCCGAATACCGCCCCTGTAGGTCTAACAGTGCTGGAACGCCTTCTTGGCCGCTGGGTGGGGTTGGGGTGGGGGGGATTTCTTTTGTTATGTTGTTATGAGGAATTTTGGTGTGAGACCGGAGCTGTGCTGCCGGTAGTAGTGATTTTTTTATTTGTGCTGGGATTCCCGTGGCCTGGCTAGGTGGAACGGGTGGGTACCGGACCGTTGATGAACCTGTACTTTAGCTTTGGTGTTTGTGCTCACTCACCGGGGTGGTTAATAGTATGGGATCGGAGGATCGGTATCTTGTATTTTAGTTGATATCCGGCTCGCGCTTACTTCTGGCCGGAGGGGGACTCGACTCATAAGCCATGTTTTGGCGGTAGTGAGTATAAATAAAATTGGATTGAGTTTGGACACCCTTTCTTACATTCCAAGGTTCTACCTAAACTCCACGTCGTCCCTGACTTTATCTCACGATAACTTCAGGCCTTGTTCGTGAAGGAATCTTTACCTTCGCTTACATTTATTAACCTTGTAAGGCTTTGTCCTTACGTTTGTTGCCTTTAGGTTCTTTGTTTCTGTCGTTTCGTCCTCTTCGGTCGGTCGCTTCGATGTCTAAGCGAGGTTCTTCCCTTTTGGCGGGCAAGGTCACTGTGGCCTTGTCTTCCCTTTCGGCGTCGGTGGATGAGGCTTCTCTTCTTCGGAAGGAGGTTTCGCGCCTTGGCCATCACGTATCTGTTCTCTCCCGCCGTCTTCATCGCTCGGAGCTGGAGTGTGTGGCCCTAGCGGCGGCCGGGCATCCGCCCTCCCCTTCGTTCGGCGGGATCGATGAGGACTTGCCACCTCCCTGCGGGGTTGTGGCTGAGGATGAGGAGGTGGCTACGGTGCGGCTGCCCATGGTGGCGTCCTTTCCTTCAGGAATGCAGGCGCCTGAGCCATTCGTGGCTGAGCCTGGGGTGGTGGCTGGCCCTGCCGGTGTAGCGTCCGAGGTGCCTGGTGTGCCTGGGTTCGCTGATTTGTTCGTCGGTTCTTCCCCTCCCCCGGCCATGTGGGATGATCCCCCCTTCGAGGAGTCCCCTGAGGGCTCTATTGCGTCGGCGGATTCGGTCGTCACTGCATTGATGGAGACTGTTTATGGTCCGCATCTCCCTCCCAGCTTTTGTTGGTCGGGGCATCGGGCCTTGTCAGTGCCACCTATAGCGCGGCGAGCGATGAGCTCCCCTCCCGAGCGTAGGGGGAATGTTGTTGAGACTCCGGTCTCTATGGCAGACTTCCTTGCTTTAAGGGTACCAGGGCAACAGGCTAGGAAGCGGGCACTGGTGGAGGAGGCAGTAGTGCACGAGGATGAGGGACTGATGCTGGTGTGTCCTGGTGACAACTCTGGTGGTAAGAGGCGTCGGCGTCGACGGCGGGCGCAGAGGGACCGGGGTCAGTAAGGCCTTGGTGTGGGTATGTTCTACTGTGGAGGATGGGGTTTTACGGGACAGTATTTAGACCGGATTTGATATTTTTGATTTATTTTTATTTTCTGATGGCCGCGGGCCGTAACTCCCTTCCCCTCGCTTGGCGGGACCAAGGACCTTGGTCGCTCTGTTCCTGTTGAGTTGGGTGTCTGGTTGTCGGTTGGGGCGGGGGTGGTCGGGGCTGTTGATGGACTTCTACCTAGCTTTCGTGTTTGCTCGCTCGCGGAGGTGTTATTGGTTTGGGTTTGGAGGTCTTTGGTCTTGTTTATAGTTGTTACGCGCGCCGTTGTATCGTGGGGACCCCGGCCCCAGGCAGTTGCTTTCGAGCGCTGTTCCGGTCCGCTTGTGCTCCGCCGGAGGCCCTCCTGCCCTTATGGTAGGTGTATGATAGGATGATCGCTCAACCATAAGCCATGTTTTGGCGCGGCCAGTATAAATAAAATTAGATATAATTTGGACACCTCTACCTAGGAATTACACCCTCTACTACCTGGCATCCTCCTGAACCCCTGAACCCTGACCCTGAGCCCCTGACCCCCGAACCTCGTACAACTCGCTTCGGTTGTACCCCCACACCTAGACCTCCTCTCCAGAACCTTGCCTGTCCTGATCGTGGTATGCCTTGGGCTACCTGACCCTCAGACCCTGTCCATTACAAGTATTTATTCACATTCAATAAAAAGTCAGACAATGTATGAGAATTACCTTTCTGCTCATAGGAATGCAATGAGAATAGCTTATGAGACATACTAGTACCATTATTCCTATGGGATTTTGACTTTTTTTACTATTATATTATTTTACCAAAATGCTTGGTTAATGGGATAAGTATAAATTTCCTTTGTGTTTAGAATATCCTACCAGGAAAGTGGCCTACTTGGCTAAGACGATATCCTCTTGGTAAAGTAAAATTCTTTCCCAGTAGGATAGAACATATATTTAAATTGGACTATACTCACCTTGCTATAAAAATCATGATTTTTTGAAATTGTATTACCATTTTTTTAAATTCAGAATTTAATCATTTGTATATAGGATACAGGGTAGTAGATCTAAGAGTTTCTACAATAATATTATAATATACAATTAGAATACTGTAATATTTATAATTTAATTTCATATATACTATTCTAAGTTCTCCAATCTTTATCCTTCAAATACTTTCAAGTAATGCAAAATACTATCAATATAAATGATTTGCCTTTGCTAAAAGATATAGCCAAAGAAGTTTCACCAGCATTAATACCAAAGTTTCTTATATCTGTTGCACTTACTGTAGGAGTAATCTATGAGTCTTGATACAATACTTAGGATTGTTGTACTTCAGTTATAACTGAACAAGGATAATGTAAACTACTAACCATTTGACACTAAAGATCAAGAACAAGTGGAAGTGTTGAGAGGCAAATTGGAGAAAGAAAACCACAGTTGAGATATGAAATTGTTGGTAAGAAGAAAATAATAATTGGGAGTCATGCTATGGAAAGAATTAATAAATAGTTACTCAGAAAGCTTTGTGTCAACCAGGCTAAAACCCTTCATAAAATCAGTATTTGGAACTAGGATAGAATAAGAATCCAAAAAATTGTAGTCATTACTGACTAGCAACTTTTTTGGAAAAATACTATTTTTCTATTTCAGAATATATTCTATTTTCAACTTTTATTGTGATATATTTAAATTGGTACAAGCCGAGCAGGGCCTTACTGATAAATATATCCTTTTGTATTGGATTTTAGTGTAAATAATAGAGATAACCCTTTAGGCTAATGATTGATCTATGTACTATCTTTAACTAGTTATAAATAAGTCTTTGGATAACTTATGTTCATTTAAGATATATAGGTCCTGTGTGTCCTCCCCATATCTGGTGTTTATTATAGGATCCTATTAAATCTTTTGACAAATGAGATGCTAGGTGCAGGTTATTAACTGCAAGTTAAGCTAAAAATCATCCAAATTGGATAAGAACTGACTGAGTTAGAGGTTCTTGAAGTTTAGCAACTTCAAATCACCCTAGTTCCTTCTGTTTTGGCCCAATTTGGATGATTTTTGGACCCAGTTAATCAGAATAACCTAGGTTATTTTGTTCTTACTCTGTGGAAATGGGGCCTATAACCAAGCCTGCCCATATCTTTAAGGATAATAGTATGTAGACTTGTAGAGGTTATAGTACTATAACTAATGTACTAATCTGAATCAATTAAGTCTTATCTTATAGAGCAGAGCTCCTTGTCTACTATTCAGTCAAAATCCTTGGCCACATCTGCTGTATCTCTATGGAGGAGCTTGTATAGAGATGTCTTATCATTTTGTACTGTAATACCTTATCATCATGGTAACTATGGTGGGGCCTGGAGTCAAACACATGACCTTATGCATTTAGTCATATAATGCACTAATTATGCTTCTATGTGTAACCGCCCTCCAGCCTCTGTCATAAAAGTGTAAGAGGTGGCGGGAGACCTGGAACCATAGAGCAAGAGGTCTTATTGTAGAGTGTCTTGTTTTTCTTTGTTACTGTGTCGGAATTATGGCTCTTTGTACATCATACCAGGAGGTCCATATGCATTTTTGAGCCATAATCAATAAACACATGAATTATATAACAAAAACCCATCATCCCCTCCAGCCCCTCAAGCTCCATTTGCCACACGACACAAGAGTAGCGGGCAAGGGTGTACCGGTATAGTAAACGGTCCGTGGGATGGCTCGTGATGCAATATCCCGGGCCGATCCCGTGCAAGTATGGGGCTTATATTGACCGGGGTACTGTACAATGAGCATGATACTGTACTCGAGTACAGTACCTGTACGGTACCCAAGCACTTCTAGGAAACACGACTGTCATGGCGGTGACCGGGAACAGCTAATTCCTTGTTACGAGTACTCGTATACTGCACTCGTACAGACACTTGCACTCGTACAGCCGTCAGGGGAGATGTTTTTGTGCCAGATCGGGACTATTGCAGGCTAACCTAAATTTATCGACCACGAACTTTATCGTGGGCACAAGCATCACACCCGTGGAGATGCCCTTATACTCGTACCTGGGTATGGAAGTGGAAATCGAGCACGCAAAGAACCCTGTTATCGCGGGGGAAGTATTGAGTTGGCCAGAATAAAAGAAAAGATCGGCAAGTTTAGGTCACGAAGAAAGACTAACACTTGACAGGTGCAAGATTTTGATAATATAAATGCAAATGATAATAACCGGTGTAGTGGTGCTTGTGCAGCCTTTTGTAAGTTTAACAAATACTCGGGCAGCCATCCATTTCATTCAGCGATATCTCCAGAGAGGATAGTAATAGCTAACATCCCAGATACCTGTCCAGTTGCGGTACTGGTAAGAGATCACCTAGATGCGATTAGTCCGGGATACCCGTAAATTAACTGTTAACTATCTATCGGGCGCCTGTATCTGTATATATGCTATTATTCTATTTAAGGAAGGAAGGGAAGATATACCGTGTAATATAATGGGCATGAAGGAGGAGGAGGATGCAAGAGGTAGAGGATAAGACGTTCCTGTTGGTATCATTGTAGTCCGTGCAACGCCTGAAGTATGGTGAGAAGTAAAAAGGTGCTGTGGATAGAGGGGAAAGCAAGAACGCAAGAGAGCAAGAAAAAGGCCACAATGGCAAACCATTTTGTTTCCTTTGCTTTTTTTTGGCAAGCAGGAAAGTGAAACGTGAAAAGAAAAAAAAAATAAGAATAAAAAAGTAAAACATCAGTCTCCCGGATGAATGGATGGAGCGGCAAAAGCAGGGAGGAGAGTTTGCAAGCGGAAGAAGAATTTTTGGTAGAAAAAGAAAAAGCAACAGCAGTCGATGCAGGTCGGTGACAAATAAATCACTGTCGAATCAAAAACAATATACGAACAGGAAAAAAGCAGTTACGAGTAGAGGAGCAGAACAGCCCTATTGCATGGGTTTAGAGTACTCGAGTACAGAGTGGCACCTATTGATTGTTCCACTCGGTTAGCCGCAATTTAATGTGTGGTGTTAGAGCGATCGAAATAATCGGAGCATCAAAACTCGAATTGTAGCCAAGATTAATACGGGGGAAAAGGGAAGGAACTATCGTGGATTATATGGTGGAGTACTCACTTTACGCAAAGGAGTTTATGCTCCCCCTTTCTTGATTGTTTAGCCTTGAACGATGTCCCTCCACACCTGCAGAACCCGCGGATCAGTCAACAATCGTTGCGGTCCACCAAAAAAATCCCGGCAGGGGTGGAGGGGGAAAAAAAGAGCCAAAATACTGGCGGAGACGCGGATGCTGGGCAGATTCCAAAATGGGCGGACCAGACAAACCTTTTACACCTAACTGTCTCGCTCTCACTTTCGTCCCCTTCCCCGTCACTGCTAAAAACCTCATCCGCACTGTCGTCAGAACCCGTCACCATCCTAGATACCAGTCCCAATCCTGCCGTCGCCGCTATGGCGGAGGCACCGGCACCTGAGCTGGGCATATGTTTGGGATTGTAGTACGCTAGGTTTGTGCTGGCTTCCCGAGCCATAAGATCATTGCCAGTCACTTGCATGGTAGCGCTGCCGCCCGGCTGTTCCCCTCCCCTAGGAGCAGACTTCCAGGGGCTCCTCATGTTGGCCGCACCACCTTCCGAGTTTCCTTGATGTATGGCACCATCTGCAATTGAGGCTCTTGAACGTACGCTGCCTGACTGTGCGAACCGGTCCGTGGTCCCGTTCGAACCAACTGATAGGGTGCCCATTGACTTTCGGGGAGAGATGCTCCGGTTTCTACTCGAGCTGCTATCACCAAATCTCACTCCCCCAATAGAGTCATCCAAGCTCCCACTGGATGCTATACTCTGTCTCCATGAAAGGATTCTATCAGAGCCATGTGACAAGGAGTTTCTCCGTCTCCCCCCAAATACGCCACTTCCAATCTTCCTTGAAAAGGTCGATGATGTTTCCCAAGACTCATTCTTGCGTTTCACATGAGCACAATCCTGTCGAAAAACTTTGATGCGGCCGGTATAATCTGCGGTTACAATTATATTCCCATCCAAGTGTGCTGATCTCGCCATGTAGGCGGGCGATTCCTCAGGGACTTTCGGCATGTGCAAAGTTGCGTGATCGTTCTCCGAGCGCTTTCCCCCGGCCGGTGTTTCGGCTTCTTTCCTCGAGGAAACCGAATCAGATCTGCTGACAAGGGTAACTGGCGGTGGGTTGCACAGATCGTAAAGCGGATCTCCCGAGCTCCCCAGCAATTGTCTCGTTTTTGCAGGAGCCATTACTCCGACGGTCACAATTGCGGGATGGGCTGCATGATGTTTAACAGTTGTCCTAAGATATCGGAATGGATGAACGCCCTACCCTCAAAGTACTCGACTGGCCTCTTGTCCTTCTTTTCAGTCTCCCCCAATCCGACGTTCCAAATGTAAACTCGTCTATCCTCACTTCCACTAATGACATATTTAGCGTCATCACTAAAGGTAGCGTGAATTTGACTGCATGTATTCTCATAGCCCTTAAACTTTAGCTCGAGGCTCTTGTCTCTAGCATTGTACAGTCGCACCCGTGAATCGTTACTTGTAATCAAAATTTTCACTTCTCCGTTCGGGTCATCAGGCGGAAATGTAATCGTCTCAATTCCAGTAATCTTGCTCCCTTTCGCATTCCTGCCGTGAGAAGATCTCACATGAGCCTGGGTATTATATCTTAGTCCCTCAGTCTCGTAGAACAGACATAATCCACTCAAACAACCCGCGATGGCCATTCGTCCATCGGGAGTGAAGGCCACGGCTGTTATCAAATCGGGGAGCTCGTTCCGGAAAGCAACGCTCTTGTCAGGTATACTCCATAATCTCAATTTGGAATCCAATGAACCAGCCAGAAAGAAGCGATCATCCCTAGGATGAAACACGATAGCTGTAACAAAGTCGCTGTGTTGAAAGGTACAGAGGCACTCTTTCCTGGACACGTGCCAAAGTCTGACTGTCTTGTCCATAGATGACGACAAAAGAAAGTTATTCTACCCGCCGTTAGCAGGCGCTTGATGGACCAATTGTCTTCCCTTCGAACCACCTACTTTGCTCCAGCTCAGGTCCAAGACATCTGCGGTATGCCCAGCGTACTCATGAATTGGTTCAGATAGAAAAACAGGGGCGTTCAACCGTACCCCTCCACCATCAGAGTATATCCCTCCAGACCCAGCCCCGGCCGCATCTTCCTCCTTCTCATGGGCTTCTCTCTCTTTCTTGGTACTAATTACTTGCCAAACCCGTACTATTCTATCCTGCCCCCCTGCGGCAAGATATCGACCATCCTTACTAAACTTCATAGCCCATATAGCCCCAGTCTTATGTTTCGGAAGTGCCAGTGACAACGCCGAATGGTTGGCCACGGCACCGGATGCCGACTTCCCATTCTCCTCGTAGACCGGCTTCCGGTACAGCTCCTGCGCCAAAAATGTTTGGTCGAAATCACGCTTCGGCTTATTATGCGAACGGACCTGCAGGTGGTCTGTTAGCCCCAGCACCTTAGGACTATCCGCAAGAGCACATGAACCCCCTACCCTGATATACTTTGGTGGTGCAGGGAACTGAGGTATATACCCAATTGGCTGGGAAAAGACGTGAGCATCCATTCCTTCGGTCCGTATGTCTCCCTCAAACGTATCTCCATCGTTGGACATATCACCACCCTTTTTCTTCCCTCCCATTATGCGGCTGAGAAAAGAAACGCCTTTCCTACGTGGTGTCAGCCTTGGGTGTGCCTCAGATTCCGGAGGAGGGGCCAAGGGGAATACGGACTTCTTTTCTCTACCCTGAGGCTGTGCATCCGTATTCCTCGCTACTGTCGCATCTAGAGGGTCACTTTCCCCGGTCCCATCTACACTCTCGCCTGGATTCCGGGCCACGGAATCATCGTAGCTATCTTTACGCAACCTTTGCCGAAGGGTGTTTTCCGTTCCAGTGCGACGGAGTATCTGCATCGTCAATGGGTCAAATGCGGGTGTGTTATCCAAGCCCATTCCCTTATTCTTGATCTTCAGCGATTGGAGCTTCTCGGGATCTGCGGTAGGCGTAGGGACCGTGGAAGGCTTCGAGAGCCTTGGAGGTAGGAAGCAGCTTGTTGAAAGTTCTAGAGACAGTTGAAAACCGACCGTCGTCAGTGTCTCGCAATAGAAAGTTTAGAAAAGGAGAAAGAACCCCTAATGTTTGTTAGTGCGTTAGTTAGTGCAGCATACCATTAGGTCCATCCCCCCCAGTGGAAGAAGCTGCCCTCCCATTTTCACAGACCGCATAGCTAGTAGGCGCTATAGGAGAGGGCGAAGGAGTGTTTTGGGCAGGATTCTCTGCTGCCCCAGCTTTCGATAGGTCCACCGAAGGGAGTATTGACGTGCTTGTCATCGCCCGTTCTCGCGTAGGGAAACGTTGCAACAGTCAGCAGTACGATACTCGAATTATGCACCGGTATCACCCAAACAAATTTTAGTCCAAGCACGGCCAGGAACGATGTCTCGCGGGGGGAATCTCAAGCAAAATCTAGGACAGAAAAAACAAAAAACAAAAAGGAACATATAGGCCCGCAGCTAAAGTAGAGAACACGGGAAAGGCACGAAGGTGAGAATCAGAATAGAGACTTTGCGATTTCGCATCCAGAGTCAAATTCTAGCGATCTCATTAGCCCAGAACCCTGTTTGACCCACATCCAGAGTCTTTTCGCAAAGTCCCTAATATTCAAATCTCTTGGATGTCGTGGGACGACTTAGTCTGGAGTGTTCCTGGAGCAAAGTATGACGTTACGGTGGGTGGGAACCCCCGCTTACTGTACGAGTGGGGTACAAGTACTCGAGTACTCGAATAGCGTACGGGCCCTCGAGCACCCGTATGGTACTTGTAGAGTACCGTATATGTAATATAGCGGTGGAACAGTGCGATCATCCCGGTGATCCAGAGCACCGGCAGTCCTGGCAGATGGCAGCTCATTTCTCGCAAGTGAGTCCCCAGCCCACCAGTGCAGTACCGGTAACATACCGGTATACTCGTATGTGAGGAGCTTCCCCTTTCCCGTTCACCTTACAAGGAGTTTACCAGTACCGGTACCCCCTGAATCCATTCCTAAAGCACGGTACAGGACGGTACTGTACTGTACGGTACAGTGCCCTCCATAAGCAATAAGACCCCGACATTCCGCCTATTGTCACTTCATCTCGCCGGCTAAAGCCCCCTTGATAAATCTTTCAAATCAACCCCACCACTTTCCCTCTCCCCCGAGATTCCGCCGTTCAGATCGCCAAAACTGCGGGGTAGCCTGTTATACTCGAGTAACCTTGTATCGTACTCCAGTTCGGCGATCCAGACTTTCCGAACCCGAACTGACTTTAGGTCCGGCAACTCAGTTACGTTCCGGAATCCCCACACCACGATATGATTACAGTAAAAAGAGACTTTGCGATTTCGCATCCAGAGTCAAATTCTAGCGATCTCATTGGTCCAGAACCCTGTTTGACCCACATCCAGAGTCTTTTCGCAAAGTCCCTAAAGGGTCTATGTAATACAGGTAACTTACTACAGATCAGACGCAAGGAAATACCATGCTTCAATAGGGTTCGAAACGTGCTCCCAATGAAACAATAGGATGAGCGTAGCCGGAGAGATAGCTTGATTGTTTGAGAAGGCATCTGATCCAAAAGTGAGCCTTGGTCAGCGACACAAGAACGAGATGTTCTTGAAGGGCAACAGCTGAGGCCAACAGACTGTACTCGGGTATAAGCACTTGTTGAGGACACAATTTATATGTGCAATTACCGTGCCCCCCCCCCCCCCCCCCCGGTAGGTTGGCCACTCCTTCCCGAATTGCGGTTCAAAGACCGATCCATACCAGCACGATATACCAGATGCCATCGTCATCACCACTAACGTATTTCCCGGGGAAGCAGGACTTGCTTTTGATGCCCATAGCGTGAGACATCTTGTAGATCAACCCTGCTCTTGACATTGACAAACTTACCAATTCCACAAAGTAACAACACCAATGGTACCAGTGAAGGCCCAGCAGCAGGAGGAGTGAGAAAAATAAGTCCAGCAGGCATTAAGAGCAATTTGAGAAGGTTTGGATGGCAGAGTAGCAGCTGCAGTTGAGTTATATGGGGTACCCTGAACAACCTTATATTATAGGCTGTCAGGGGAGCAGAAGAGTTGTAGGGAGGAATATGTTGAACAATAATGGTTAACTGTAGTAGAGGAGAAGGCTATTATGAAATGGTATTTTGATATGGATAATAGAGGCTTTCCTCCCTGCCTTGATATGATGAGAGATATGGCTACTCATTTGGAAATAAAGTAGTTAGGTATAAAGGGTGAACTCTTCAGAAAACATTGGATATTAAGATTTCTAGATAGAAATCCCTCGATTGCCATCAAGTTCAGCTGTCGTCATCAGTAGTAAAGAGTACAGGCAAATAATCAGCAGATTATTAAAGACTTTTTTATGAACCTTACCTGCCTCATCTACACCCATGGTTTGAAAGCCTTCTAAGTGTTCAACATGGATGAGAAAGGCTTTCTGCTTAGACAAGCTACTTAGGTATGAGTCCTTTGCTGTCATAGATGAAAAAACTCTAATGTTACCTATGATAGAGGTCATGAGTTGGTTGCTCTTACAGAAACTATTAGTATAGTGGGTATTGCCTTTTTCCCTGTGGTAATCTACCAAGGACTTGGAGTAGCTCAGTATCTAGGATGGCACAAGAACCTGACTGTGGAGGAGAAGGATTATGTTTTCAGCTACTTACTCAAAGGCTGGATTGATCATAGGCTAGCTTTAATGTGGCTATAAGAGATTTTTAGGCTACAAACAGTAATATTGGTCAGAGGATTACCATGGCTACTTATCCTTTATGGTCTTGGATTTCATGTTACCTTTTAAGTTAATTAATTTTGCCTTGATTACAGCATCCTACTTCTTTGCTTACCCTTCCACAGCATACACCTCCTCTAACCTCTCGATGTCAGATTGTTTTTACCCTATCAGTACTATTATAGATGCAAAGTAGATGATTACCAGAGATCTGGCCACAACTGTCACAAACTGTGACTAAGCAAGGCAGATTTTACATAGCCCGGAATTCCGAGCTATAGGTATGTTGGGATTTCACATGACGCACACTAGTACACCATAGGTTATTATGTCTACCTGTTCGTGACTCACAGTTGTGAGTCACACGATGTTATGATTTTCACACATGACTCAATTTATGAGTCATGGGTTTCACTCAGGTAATGTAAGTTGTGCACCTGACTTGGTTATTATGTTTTGATCGGTTTTAGGTATCTTGCGTAGCGACTCATAGAAGTCGGCTGATGGATTTCGTATGACTCATAGTAATGAGTTACAGGATTTACATGATGAAAGGTATGAGTCACACTAGGTGAAGAACTACTATATAAGGGATCGCTAGGACCCCGAGTATTAGTTCTTTACACATTCTTCTTGTTTATTTCCTACCTTTAAGTTATTACAATAAAACCTACTTTTACGCTCTTTAAGATTTATCTTAAGAAACCTGAGAATTGTCCTTCCTTCTAAGCAGGAAAACTATTTCTCCTCCCATATCGAACGATTAAGTCCTAAGCGAGGACTTAAAAAGATTAGAGAAAATAGACCCGAGAAGATAGAAGTCAAAAGGACTTGTCTATCTATATCGCGTAGGCGTTGGCCTAATGTTAAGAATCCTACCGGGTAGGACCTAGCGACAGGTAACGATACTTCTCTGTAAGGTGATAGCTCTTAGGCCTATGCCTACGCGTACCCGATAGTCTAGTCCTTTGACTACTATCGTACCCGCGCCTATCTCCTTATTCTTCTCCTTAGTCCTCGCCTAGGACTTTAATCTCTTCTCGTGAGAGGAAAGACACTTCTTGGGTTTCTTAAGATAAATCTTAAAGAGCGTAAAGGTAGGTTTTATTGATAATAACTTGAAGGTAAGAAATAAACTAGAAGAACGTGTGAAGAGCTCATACTTGGGATCCTAGTGACCCTTTATATAGTCGCTCTTCACCTGGCGTGACTCACACCTCGTGTCACGCGAACCCTGTGACTCATAACTATGAGTTACATGAAATCCATCAGATGACTCCTATGAGTCGCTGCGCAACATGCCTTAAACCAATCAAAACATAATAACCAAGTCAAGTGCGCAACTCGCGTTACCTGAGGGAAACCCATGACTCATAAGTATGAGTCATGTGCGAAAATCATAACATCGTGTGACTCACAATTGTGAGTCACGAACAGGTAAACATAATAACCTATGGCGCACTAGTGTGCGTCATGTGAAATCCCAACATACCTATAACTCGGAAATCCGAGCTATGTGAAATCTGCCTTGCTTAGTCACAGTTTGTGACATTAGCTCTCCTCTTCTCCAGCCCGAGTCCCATCGGGCTTCAGTCTTCTATTCCCCATCTTCTTCCTTCGGGTAGCGGATAGTACCTATTTGCTCCCGTGTTCACCCTGACCACCCTGGCCAGAGTTTTTCTCGCTTCCTTCTCTTCTCTTCTCCAGTCATTCTGGAGAGCCTTTCTCATGTTCCTTTCTCCCTGCAACTCCTTCGTCAAATTGTCGTTGCTCCACCTCGTCCTTTCCAGCTCCTTCTTGAGCTCTTCTATCTTTTCCGCTTGATATTCCAGCAACTTGCTGGTTTCGGTTTTCTCGGCTAACCACTTCATTTTGACCTCCTTCGAGGTCTCGTGTTCCGTCTCTTCTTCCATTTCCTCTTGCCAGGAAACCTGCTTCGATTTCCTGGGCCTCCCCTATTGTTTTTGTTTTTTCGCCCTCCTCCTCCGCGATTCCGTCCTCGGAGTCGGTCCGATGTATTGGACCAGAGCCACTGGTTCTGGTGTGGGGGATCTCGTGGGCGTTGGGGATCTCGCTGGTGATCCCAGGGGTGAAGTCTAGGGTGCCCATCGGTTCCTCTCCTGAGGCCAGTATCCCGAGCCTTCTTTCTCGCTTTTGTGCACCTGGCACTCGTCGTCGTAACAACCTGTCCATGACAGGTTCGCGTGCTCCCTTTGGGTAGCAGGAGTCTTGGGTATCGGTAGGTCCTTCAGACTTATCCAGTCTTCGGGGTTGTATTCCATCTCGTCTTTCATCCGTTCGGGGCTCGGGGTACGATATCCCGGGCTGGTTGGGGTGATGTGTTTGAACGCTTCGCGTCCCGGATTTGCCTGGAGTGACGCCCTCAACGGTATCATTTCCATTTTTATCTGAGGCTGATGCCACTGGTAGGTGTCTGTTCTGTGTAGTGGCGGGGCCACATATTCGGATTCGGGTGCGTCTTCTACCGTTGCTTGACGGTTTGCTGGGGTATCGTTGATGGAATTGGTTGACTGCATTTTGCGCGTGATCGAAGTTCTCGGCTGGGTACCAAGTCTTATCGTGTTCTGGAGAGTATCCAGTCCACTTCGCTCGGTACTGTAAGCGACCGTAGTATAATCGGGAGTCGATTATTTCTTCGAGTTCGTATTCTGATTCGCCGGCTGTTTCAATAGGCGGTGGTGGGGGTTTCTTTTGATATGGTAGAGGATTGTCTTGATAGGGTTCGAGGAGGCTGATATGGAAGGTGTTGTGTATTTTCATTGACGGTGGGAGGTCGAGCTTATAAGCTCGACTTCCTATCTTTGCCAATATCTTGAATGGTCCTATTTTCTTGTAATCCAATTTTTTCGTTGGTCGCGTAGTTTGGATGTTGCGTGG